TAAGCAATTATAGTAACAGGTTTTTAAAGGAAGAAAGAACTGCAGATATGAAAAGCTGTATGTGAATTAAAAGCCTAGATTCAAAGATTCATAGATTTAAATGCATAAAGGTACCATTCCATTCATCTGTTCTGACCCTCCACATAACACAGCCCCAAAATTCGTGTCAGTTAGACAATCTTTTTACAAAGGCACCCAGTGGAGCACTGACCACCTCCTATAATAATCTGCCCTGCTACCTGATTATCCTCATTATATTTACTGTACATCATATATTTAATAATTTCAAAGATACGTTCTTTCATTTCTTTGCTAAAATTCCAACCGATGGCATCTGAGCCTGCTTCTCTAAAATCTTCCTGCATGTTTTTTCATTTCCTAGTTTATACTTTGAAGAATAGATATGAGTGTTCATACAAATTTCTTCACCAGCTGTAAAACAGGTAACTCCTCCTCCTGAAGATATACTACTCTCTACCATCATCTCTATATATCTACCTACAGATCTCTGTCTACCTATAAAACATCTGCAGACCATCAGTTCAAGAAGTAAACTACTATTGTTAATGAAAGCCTGTAACTATATCACTCTAGGATTATATGTAGGAAGATTTCTGCATTATCTGGAAGTCAAGATACTGTTATCTACTGCTTTTGTCCCTTTGAATATTAATCTGTGTGGAAATATGCAAGATGGCCCTAAAAGGAAACAATGACATAACAGCCTATCAGAAATTTATCAGAATTAAGTATATCAGCAACACACTGTATTACCAGGATTCAATATACATAGAAAAGACAGTGAGTAAATTCTGACACTGGTGGAGCAATATTCTCTACTACATGCTGCTTCCTGTAACAGCCTTACATAACACAAAATCTGTATGGGTGACAGGTCCAAGCCCAGTAGCAGCAATCTAGTACTGTGACACCACTCTCCCCATCTGGAGTGCAACACCAGCTGTGGTATGCTGAGAAAATTTACAGTAGCATTAGGACAAGAACTGCAATTCCACTGAGTGACTAGAACTACCCCTGACAGAGTAAAAATCACCATGTGATGTTAAGCAGAGAAGAAATTTTTAAACCATATCACCAATTGCTTTGTGAATCAGCTGGCTAGGACACCGTAAGAAGAAAATGAACAGTTTACTTGGTCCTGAATAACATGAAAGATCTTAATCTCCCACAGAATCTCATCACTGAAGTGCCACTGTATAACATGAATCTTTATACCTATATTCAGCATCTCTTCAGCAGCACAAACATAATGAAAGCCACTACAGGAAGAGAAGAGCTACATCAAAGTGAGAACATTTGTTTAAAAGATTATAAAGCAGACAACCAGGAAGCAGCGAACTGTTGGGATTCAAGAGGACTTTCTGTGAGAGAATGGACATGTGAGCAATCCTGCATGAGAACAGAACTGATAAGAGCCTCAGCCAAGCAAGAATGCGATAAGGATGTGACCCTGAATGAGGGGGGAGAAACTCAACAAGACAAACAACCCCTGGAAGGGGTTGGGATGGAAGAGGAAGTTCCACAAGGCAGGAAGCCTGGCAAGGCTGATGTGGCACTTTTTATTCTATCATAAGAAGGTTTAAAGCGCAGACTAAGTTAACCGTCCAGTCTTGAGGACTTGTACTGCATGTTACTCACGTGTGCGGGAGAACATTATAAGAGGGCTTTCTTAGTTGTAATAAACGGGCACTGCTTGATCACATTGGTCATGTGCATGCTCAGCTCTCCTGCAGAGCACCATTGGACTATTAATTCCAATTAGGAAAGGCTTGAGAAAGGGGGGAAAAAATAGTGACCTGGCTACCTTTACAGCAAGGGTAGTTAACAGAAAGAGGAAAGTATCCTCCACCTGACTTAAGAATTAGCAAATGAAGAAAGAATTGTAAACTCTTGACACAAGAAATTAAAATTATAACTATAGATAGAGGGGAAAAAAAAGATCTGAAAAACTACCTAAAGGAATAGCAATTAAATCTACAAATGGGCAAACGGTATCCTACAGTTCCATCTATCACCTACCAGGCAATAAAGAAGCAGTCAGAAATGTCAGGACCATCTGCAGACATGCTTAAATGGACTCTCTGCAGGATATTCACTATGGAAGAGACCTAGTTAGGTTGCATATCAGCCTTTTTTTGTGATGGGGATGGAACAGGACCTGTATGAACAGGCTATGGTGTATCTATGGACAAAATAAGCACTAAGAAATAATCAGAACCAAATGATGGTAAGATAAAACCTCTAAGAGAATTACTAATGATGAGGCTTAAACTCCCACTTAAAATTTCCTTGCATGAGTTTCCAAAGAGAACTACAGGTCTGTGAAACTGTAACCTGTACAGGACATTTTAGCAGAGATTATAACAATGCTAGAACAAGCAGATATATGAATAAATATAACCCGGGGGGGGGGTGTTGATTTTGCTTCCATAATGAGAAGGACAGCATTACAAACCTCCTGAAGTTCTGAAGAAGACATCAATATACATGTGGATGATTATCTGACTCAAAATACCAATGGGCTTGAGCCTGTATCATCAAAAAAACAGTACAGAAAAAGCATTTGGGTCAAAAAAAGTTGCTGAGAATTCCTGATTTTATAAGTCATTCAATTAGAAATGGAGCTAAATTATACTCTGGATCTAGAACAGAGTTACATTATTCCATGAAACTCAGAGAATGTCCCAGAAATACGCATCCAAACTGATTCACACTGCCCTACAAAGTATAAAAAGTTATTGCTGTATTTTCCTGGCGGTTTAATTTACTCACATTAAAACCCAGGTGCAGGAAAGCACTCCACCTAAATCTACTGATTAGTCCCATAAATGTTTCTGAAGTCTTTGTAAGTGCACCTAGTGCAAATTAATTTCTATTATAGATATTGTTTATAAACCAAATTTTTCATGAAAATTAAATGAGTCTTTACACTTATTTCCATTTCACGTGAATACTTTCATTTGATACACCTTTAATATCAAAAAAGTTGTTTCATGTTGCTTTTGGCATCTACTGGAAGAGATTTTATCTCTCAAAATCTGTAATAACAATTCCTTACTGTTCCTAATTACTCTATTGCCAAGAGATTTCTAAATAAAAACATAATATTTCACTGCTTAAATTCAGCCTGCCTTGATTAATGTAATGTTGGTGAGAATAAAAAAAAAAAAAAAAATCCTCCCTTAGATACTATGCAACTATTAAGAAAGCCTACTTCAAAATTATTGCCCAACAACACAAAATGGCCACATCAGGCTCATCTTTTACTGAAATACAGACCTTTTATAAAAAATACTGTAAGAAAACAGAAATACCATAATTGCGTGGTATGGCTTTTTTCTCCATATTGTTTAAGTGTAACTTTGTAAAAAAACTATGCCAGAATATAGTCATCAAACGTGGCAGTGCCACTTAAGTTTTCACCATTTGTCTTAGCCATATTCACTAGACTTATAAAGCTACGGCCATCAGCTAAATCGACACCTAGTAGCCCCTATTTATATAGCACTGTAGAGATGAAGCACACATTTCGGCTCTCGCCTCCACCGCCTTGGCACCCTACAAAGCGGCGAGGGCCGGGACTATTCACAAGGCTAGCCTGAAGTAGCACGGGGACGGTTATTTGCTTTTCGCTCCGACTGCCGCAATTGCTTTCGCTTCCTTCTCTGACGCCTGAACCTTGCTACCGCCTCACGCCGCCGCTCCCCCTCCCGCACCAAGGAGAAGCTCCCCGCCCCGCCACCGCGGGAACGCCGACCCGCACAAAAAATGGCGGACGGGGGCGGAGACGGGCGGGACTCTCCAGCCTCCGAGCGCGCCCAATCGCAGACCGCGGCGGGGGTCACGTGACCGCCTGGCGCAGCGCGACACTGCGCCTTCCGTCGTGCCCCGGGG